TTCCATCTGAAACATACAAATAATTTGATGTGATTAAAAATCAGACTAACCATCCAATTTTTCTTCTATCAATATAATCACCTGTAACAAATGAAAATATGCATCAAAGACTTGATGTGATTTAAAAAAATAAAAAATCTTCTTTTCAACATGTGAAATCCTTATATTTTTCTGTTATTTATCGAGTAAAGCCTAGCCATTTGCATACCCCAACCTTTCATAACTCATTTATGACAAATAACATGTGCCAAGGTCAATGGTAGGATCAATACACTTCTATCATATATTTGAATCATATATTCATCACTAGATCCTAATCATGGCACTAAATTGATCAGTCAAAACTCGAAATGACAACACTATTTTGCTTCATTATGGTAGTGTGAACTTCGGATTTGAGAAAATGCATTCCCTTTCCCTTGCAATATTTCCACCATGTGAGAAAATCAGAATAATAATGATGACAATGATAATTTATGCAGGATCATTCATTAACAGTGGCTTATGACACTACAACAAAAGTGGTTTTTTATGACATTGATTTACGGCGTTCGGAAAATGTGTGCCGTAATTAATTCAATGCTTAAAGTATTTATGGCATACATGTAGGATATGCCGTAAATAATCTAGAGTTACACATTTTTACGGCGTGCATCATGAACGCCGTTATAACTTACACCTTTTACGGCGTGCATCGTGAACGCCGTTATAGACGCACGCCGTAATAGCGGGCCCAACACAAAGTAAAATTAAAACCCGCCAAACACAAGCCCAATCCTTATGAAATTAGGGAACTTATTGTTGCATATAACCCATTCCCTCTCAATCCCTCGTCCCTGTCAATCTCGCGCCCTCTCTATCTCAATATTGAGCATCGACAAATCTCCAGTCAATGGTCAGGTTGGCAATTACACCCTAAGCAAGATTACATGCTATTTAATTGCCCAAAATTTTCCCCTCGTTTTGCATTTCGTTCTGCGACTTTTGCTTCAGTTATATCTGCTGAATTTTTTTTTTTTGCTGGGTCTTATAATTATGCAGATTGAGGTGGTTGTAATCTTGTCTTTCCCTCTTTACAATTCCAATCTTTTACTAATTTTTCACCTTCTGATCGTTGAGTTTGATTTTCACACCGCCAGAATCTGCACAATAGAGACACGGCAGTGTGTGGTTACTGGTTAGTTGCAAATTGAATATATATGGTTCTTGATAAGTTTATAGGGTTCTTGAGGTGAGGGTTATGAGAACTTAAGTAATAAGTCTCAATATCAAATTCCACCCTAAATGTTGAGAATAGGGATAGGGGTTTCCAGAAAAAATTCAATAACATGGAATGTTGCTACTGTGACAAGACTGGCCACATGAAGAATAATTATATAGCTTTACTCTTTTCGGTTGATAATCTTATTGATTTTTGGGTGATGGATTTACGAGCTTCTTTTTACACCACTATATATCCTTAAATTTTGGAGAACTATGTTATTGGGAATTATGATAGGCATATCTTGCTGATGGAGAACATATGGATATTGTTGGTATTGATGATGTCAGTTTGAGGATGTGTGATCTGATTTGAGTTTGACAACTGATAATAAAGGTCATAACATCACTTTGTTGCCTATTTTCGGAAAGTTACTAACGAAACCATGGTTATTGCTTGAGTAAATAAATTTGGAACTCTTTACATTACTTCCAATTGAAAAGAAATGGTTGCAATTCAGCCATTAGTTTTGATTTGTAACACTGTAGGCTGGGACACATAATTGAGAACAAAATAAACGTGCTTCACTCTAAATGGAAGCTATTTGAGTTGAAACATGTTGAAACACTTTATGTGAATGTTATGTTTATTGCAAGCAAAAAAAAAAAAAATGTTTAGTTCCTCTAAAATCAAAAGGGGTCCAAAATCTACAAAATTAAAGTTGATTCATGCGGATATGTAGGGGATCTTCAACTGTTACTTTCTTTGGAGGTTCCAATTACTATGTGACATTTATTGAGAACTTAAGTAAGAAGGTATAAGATTATTTTGTAATGAATAAATCTGATGTCTTTAATTCATTCAAGAGATGGAAATCCATGGTGGAAGATGAAACAACTTTGAAGGTGAAGTGTTTGAAGTCAAGTAAGTTATAATAGTGGAGAGTATTTAGATGATGATTTCAAGAAGTATTGTGCTAACAACATAATCAAAATGAAGAAAACAATTTCACGAACATCGCAACAAAATGATATGCTTGACAGGATGAATAGTATGCTAAAAATGAGCATGCTAGAAATATGAGATTACATGCTGGATTACCAAAGATGTCATAGGCTGAGACTGATAGCAGTAAGACTTAAGCGATCAACAGAGGTCCTTTAACACTATTGGGCTGTAAAAAACCATAGGAGATTTGGAGCGATAAATAGGTATACCCTCACAATTGCATGTGTCTTATCATGTTTCATACATTGATTCTATCGCGAGAGCTAGCTCGATGCTAAATCAACACGGTGTTTCTTTATTAGGTATGGTAGCAACGAGCTTGTTTATCATTTTTAGTATGATCCAACTCAATGTATTATTTGGAGCAAAAATGTGATCTTCAATAAAAGTGTTTTACAATGATCTCTCTTCTTTATTTTCTCTCTTTTGCTTTTCAAGATTGTCTACTTTATAATATCCATTGCTTTATACTTTCTTTTTCCTAACTAGAAAATCGATTAAAATTTTTAGTTTATGTGGTAATTATAGCTTTGGGTTTTGATTAGACAGAAGCCACTTTGATTATCTTAATAATCATTTCTGTTCATCTTTTTGAATAAAGAAGTTTGTATTTTAGCTATGTAGTAATTACTAATTACTGTTTAATCTTGTAATTTAAAAAAAAATAAAATGCAATCACTATGGGGACAATAGCAATGACAGCCTGGGATTTAGAGCTTGATCGTTACCTTCATAAATTAAGTACACTTAAGGCCTCCACTATTATGTATTGTCTCTAGGTCAAATTTTAATTAAAACTAAGTAGGGCAGAGTATGTAATGTTGTTTGGGAGAGTGGATGTTGAGTGATGATCATCTATTTTGAAGCTAAGAATGGACACTTCACTCATGGCATTAAAATTTTGACATTAGTTTGTAATTGATATATCATCATCCTCTGTAGCTGTAGTGAAGAGCAACGAGTGATGGAATGTATGGATATGAGTTTTCCTAGTGATATAATGAAAATTGTTTGTCTGCCCTTAAAAATCATATTATAAATGTACGTCTTCCAACCTATTTTCTAGTTTGATTCATATCATTCAACAAGCACTATATTTAATTTGATAAATTTGACAAATAGATTCTTTGCTTTTAAATCTCCCAAACACAACTAATCAAAAACTTAATTTAGCTTTGTAATTAAGAAAAGCCAAATAGGAAGATTGTTGAGAAAATATACATGTCATGCATATTTTTTATTTTTATTAGATTGACTTTCTTAATTTTTTATTGATTATTAATGTTGTGTTAATGGTTGGAATAAATGAACTTGGTAAAATAGGTGTGGCTAAGTGTAAGTCCCAATGACCTTGTCAGTGCATTTGTGACCTAGACCAAATTGGCAAGAATATCAATTTTTCATGTTTAGCATAATTTCCTAATTATCTTTATTTATTTAAACACAATTTTATGGTAAATTTTTACATATTAATGTTCCCAAATATTATTACACCCCGCTCATTATAATTAGAGTCTATTCAGCAATTGGTGAAGTCAAAGTCAAATAAGAAGCTTAAATTGAACAAATGATTTTTATGGGACTTAAATTGTAAGAAAGGGTGTCATACAGGAATCTAGAGATTTAATTCTATTTTTGCGGATGTAAGGACTAAATGTAATCTTGAATGAAGATTTTTATGTATTCGATAAGTTGACCATATTCTTAACCAAGTTTTCAATTAATTTCTCAACAGATTGCAGTAGTGTTGAAGGAGGCTCTAACTGTTCCAATTTCACCTATTTTAATTCAAGTTTGAATTATTTTTTTGTAATTTCAGTTTGTGTGAAAATTTATCGTCAAAATGACTTACCTAATTGGAACCTGATTTCTATGATGTCTTAATATAAGCATTTTTCACTTCATTTTTAATGTGTTTTAACAGATTATAAATTAATAGTGTTGGTATATCTTATCGTGGATAAAGATTGGGTAGACTTATCAAGGTGATCTTGTCCTCTTAAATTTAAATATTATGAAATATGCCCATAAATGCTTTTTAGATTATTTATTTAGCATATTTTGTATAGAGTTTCAGAAGCAAATATGGTTCAAACCAATGTTAGGAATCCAGAAAAGGTCATATGCCCTTGCAAATAAGTTGTCATCATTTATTGGGACCACAACTAGAGAACTTATACAAATTACATGGAAAATTTGGAAAGATATCAGTAAAGAATTTCTTGATGACATATGGGAGCATGTGCAGGTAATATAAATGTCACATTTTTTATATAATTTAAATGAAATTACTATTAATATTGTGTACTTTGATGCAGCAAAAGTTTGATGTCGATGCTTGTCGTAGAAAATACATCATGCAAAAAATGGGAAAAAATTGGCGAGATCATCGATGTAATCTACTTAAAGCAATTAATAACAAAGGAAAAACAATTGGCTTGACACGAGCTGCTGCTCTCCTCAAGCTTGATAATGTTGAATCAATGGAAGAATGGCAAGCATTTGTCAAAGAACGCAATTCTCAACCATATAAGATAAGCTTTCATTGATTTTGTATATTGATTGTGCTTTGCAACCTACTGCTTACTGCATCTGTTATATAATTGCCACAACATTTATGTCTATTACAGCATGTATAGATGATGTTGTAGGAAAAGAATGAAAGATTCAAAAAGATGAGAGCAAGTCAAACTATGTTGCATACAACAAGTAGAAAGGGTTTTGCTCGCTTAGAAGGTGAAATAGTAAAAAATTGTTAAATTAAAGTTAAATTTGTTTTAAAATTATAAATGTTATACAAACTACCACACATGAAATGTAAAATGCAGCGTGCTGAAAGTGAAGATCCTGATTCGATAACGAGAGATGATGTTTATATTTGAGGACATACGCGAAAAAATGGTGAACCTATTAATGAATCAGTTGGGGAAACATTGGTAACAATATTGCTTTTAGTAATTTTTTTATCATTTAAAGCTTATATTAGGTACTTTTAGCTCATTAATGTATTTCCTCATATCAGAATAAAATAAAAGCATATTCAGAGACGGTTTCCTCTCCAACCAAACACTCACTTGAAGATGATGGTGTTGCAAAAGTACTTGGTCCAAAACGTCCAGAACGGGTAAGAGGTCTTGGTTTCGGTGCGACTCCTTCAAAGTTGGATGCTTTGGTGCACAATCATAACCTGAAAACTCAAGTTCAAGAGTTGAGGGATGAAATTAAAGAATTAAAAGCTCTGTTTCAAGTGAAGATTAAAAGTACTGAACAAGAAGATAATGTAAGTGGAAATCTAGAATCAATGAATGTTATTTTAAATTACATATATTTTCTATATTCAAAATAATAAATTGTACAACTGGATATTAATTTTACAGTCTAGAGGCAGAAGCTTGAATGGTTTAGATAACCTTCAAAATAAGAAGTACAATTTGTTATCTTGGTTTGGGAAAGCTGATATTGTTGCAAAAGGTGAATTGCATCAACAAATCCAAATGATCTAGTGCATCATGTACTCCTTGGTAATGAATGTTGGAGAGTTTGGATTAATGAAGTGATAGATAATGTTAGCTTATATCGTCCCACGCGTGAGCTTTTTCTTCTGTAAGATGCATTAGGAAGTACAATTGCATGGCAAAGTAGGTATATCGAAGTGGATTTGCTGTAATCACACGAAGATATGCTTAACTTCTTTTCTATTTTAATTCCATTTACCTTTATGTTCGGTCTCTATTGAAGATTGTGTTGTTTAATATATTTTTGATTTGGATGCTTATTAATTATATCCTTATTATTTTCGTGGTGTGCAGGGGATCCATATTTCGTGGGGTAGCTAAATTGTCGGTCTAAGAAGTGAACTTTGATAGGTTTAATAATTTTTTGCTATATGACAAAACATCAATACCCACGGGCTTATTAGTTGAATGGCGATTGGCGCATACAATAGTAGTTGAATATTTTTGAGAATTGTTTAGATGAATTTTACATTGGCATATTTTATTGAACTGTAGTCAATATTTCTTTTTATCGAAACAATAGAAAACTTGATTATATATGGAGTAATTTTGTTTTGTTAATATTACAGGTTTGCTGGTATTAAAATAAATAAATGATTTTTAAAAAAATTGAATGCTCATTTACGGCATGTATAGGCCTGCCGTGATGCTATGAGTATAACACTTTATATGGCGTAAAACTGCATGCCGTAAAAGGTGAATGGTCATTTACGGCGTGTTTAGGCATGCCGTGACGCCATGAGTATAACACTTTATATGGCGTAAAATTGCACGCCGTAAAAGGTGAATGGTCATTTATGGCGTGTTTAGGCATGTCGTGATGCTATGAATTTAACACTTTATACGGCGTACAACTACGAGCCGTAAAAGGTGAATGATCATTTACGGCGCATTTATGTATGCTTTATATAGCGTACAACTACACGTCGTAAAAAGTGTGATGCTTTTCATGGCATCCATTTACGGCGCACTATGCACGCCGTAAAAAAAGACCACTTTTTACGGCATTGCTTTATACGTCATATTGTTGTACTCCGTAAAGTATTATTCACGGCATATAATGCACGCCGTAAAAACTAAACTTTGTTGTAGTGTGACTTATTTACAGATGAGTTATTGGAATAGTGTTTCAGGCTCTAGCTAATTGATTTTCCTATTTACAAAGAAAATGCCACAAATAATAATGCATAGTATTGATAAATAGGTTTACTAATTTCTTTACTAGAAAAAGATAAAGAAAAAGAAAAATTATAAACTATCTCAAACTCTCAGCATATATACAGTATTCATCAAAGTGTAGGCATAATCATCAACTTCACTAACCTCCTTTGGGTGTGCAATTGTATAGTCATAATGCTTCCTTGTAGTTTAATCATTCAAAATCTAAAATTTTCACGAAAGTCATTTACAACAACATGATAAATTACATCATCTTTATTGTTAGTTGAACGATCTTATAGTTTAACAGTACAATATAAAAAATTAAATAAATACAGTTTGCCTAAAACATTTGAATCTTGAAGTAATCAATATTCGAATTAGAAATTTTACAAATGATTTACATCATTTTTCAGTACCACGATAATTTTATAATCTAGACAACAATAGAAATCCTACGTTTTATCTTAAATCATCTTTATCAAATAAAGTAATAAACAAGGAGCGGTGAATGAATCAACATCTACTTTGATTGCAAAAAATATAAGTACATTCAATACGTAGATGCATAAATATACCTTGAAAAGAGTAATGGAATTGACCACCGAATTAAAAAAAAGTAAGCAATTACCTAATGAGCATTTCCTATTTTCACAAACTACTTCTTCGAGTTTGGATTGGAATTTTTATTTGGATGGCTATACAAAGAAATAAATAAATAAACTATAATAAAAAAAATGGGCAGAACTCACTATTTCAGAGAAAGCTTGTTTTAAGCTTTCTTGATCTTGAAGGCATTGGCATTTTGAGAAAGGCTTTAAAATTTAAATAAAGAAATTAAAAAATTGAAATCATCTATTCTGATGTAAATAATATCTAGATGCCTGCAACATAGAATACATGAAGCTCCTGTTTGACAACTAACATTTAGGTAAAATTGAGTTCTGAATAGTGATTTTTTTTAGAGAATGTGTGATTAAATTATAGGGAAACTCTTGAATTTACGCGCAAAATATTTTATTGTGTGAATGTATAGTGAAAAATGTGTGAGTAGAAAAGAGTTTTGAAATAATGGTTGTCAAACAGAAGTGAAACAAAATATATCATATCACCACCAATAGAAAAATATCGGTCTCGTAACTCATTCTTCTAGTTTTTAAGAATAAACACCTAGAAGAAACAAGGGAAGCACGCCCGAAAGAGAAATATAAGGAATATGGTGGAATTGAGATTTAGATAGGTACCTGAGAAATTGCAAACTAACAAATGAGGCCCCATGCTGCTTCTTAATGGTCAAAGCAGAAGGACCACATGGTATGCTAAAAACGGTTCTCCTGAAATATTAGAATGCAAAGCAAAAAAGGTCAACATGCCATTTTTTCTTCCTTAAGGAAATATTTATTGAAACGGACATCCCAAAGGAAAAGATATAGCTGGTATGTCTAAACGGAAACAGTACAAAATTTTGCAGAATGAACCCCCTGTTGCACAAATTGAAAGGAACCATATTCATAAAATCCTTTCATAAAATCATAAATTACATGTTGAAATCAAAGAGACAACGAAAAGTGCGGAAACATACCTTGATTCATGAATCTGACTGCTTTAATTGGGTTTTGATCTTCCAATTGATACGTGATTTTCCTTCCTTTGTTTTCTAGAAAAAAATCTCTGTTGATGGGGATGCAGAGATACCATAAAAAGAATCACATTCAAATTGGGGACCATAACCATTTTTTAAAATAACTGCTATTGGCAGTTATTAACTTTAAGTTATTTCAAATCGGCCCCTCATCAATTCAAAATAATACCTTCTGGTCTCTACACTTTAATCCCATAAAATTTAATACCCATTAGTCCAAAATTAAATCCAATGGATCACTTTATCGACTATATTTACTTTAAAATAGCACCACACATTCTAATAAATGTACATGTGTGGCCCCCAAAGTTGAAATTTTTTCCAACAATCTCCCACTGGGCCAAACATGTTACATTATAAATGTGCACAGACTTATGAGCTCAAAATTGTGCTATAGTTATTAAAGGTATTTCCAAACAATCTCGTCCATTGGTTACATCGATGTAGGATCAAAGCGATTTTCGTCACATTTAGATTGACTAAATCTATCAATGGTCACGTACACCCATACAACCAAATGACATAGATCAATTATGGGAGTGTAGCATGGAAATTACATGTTATGTGATCCGAACATGTCTATTTCCAACTGGTCCAACTTTATTTCTTAAGTGAGATCAGTACTGAACATAATAACAGAGTGGAATGAACTGAATACTTTATTTCTGTACAGAAAACATCCAAATACATAAATGTGTTCAAAGAACTAAACATATATAAAGCAATAAGAATACAAACTCCCACTAAAACATGATATCCTCAAAAAGTACAACACCCATATGAGCGGTGTGCTTATGAAAGACCTTGGGTGGTAATCCCTTAGTAAGCGGATTCGCAATCATGGAGTTTGTTCCAATGTGCTCTATAGAAATCTGTCCACTCTGTACTCTTTCCTTTACAACCAGGAATTTAATGTCAATATGTTTTGATTTAGATGAGCTCCTGTTGTTGTTAGAATATAGAACTGCTGAGTTGTTGTCACAATACAACTTTAGTGGTCTTTCTATGCCATTCAGAATGTGCAGCCCAGTGACAAAATTTCGCAGCCATTTTCCATGATTAGATGCCTCATAGCATGCTACAAACTCTGCTGCCATGGTAGAAGAAGTTATGAGTGTCTGCTTGGTACTCTTCCAGGAAATAGCTCCTCCAGCTAGCAGATAAATATAACCTGATGTGGATCTTCTACTATCTTGGCATCTAGCAAAATCAGAATCGGAGTACCCTATGATCTCTAACTGATCTGATCTGCTATATGTGAGCATATAATTCTTTGTTCTTTTTAAATACCTCATAACCCTTTTGGCTGCCTTCCAATGATCTATCCCAGGGTTGCTTAAATATCTGCCTAGCATTCCAACAATAAATGTTATGTCTGGGCGTGTACATACTTGAGCATACATTAGACTCCCAATAGCTGATGCATAGGGAATCTTCTGCATTTCCTTAGCTTCAAGGTCATTTTGTGGGCACTGTTTGAGACTAAATTTGTCTCCCTTAGCGACAGGGGTGTCACCTGGTTTACAGTCTTGCATGCCAAACCTCTTAAGTACTTTATTAATATAACTCTTTTGTGACAATCCAAAAATACCTCGAGAACGATCCCAATGTATCTAAATCCCTAATACAAAAGAGGCGTCACCAAGATCTTTCATCTCAAAATTCTTTGATAAAAATCTCTTGGTTTCGCGCAACATGCCTATATCGTTAGTGGCAAGCAGTATGTCATCAACATACAAAACCAGGAAAATATGCTTACTCCCACTAAACTTGTGATACACACAATCATCAACGACATTTACCTCAAAACCAAATGAGATAATGACCTGATGAAATTTGTGATACCATTAACGGGAAGCTTGCTTGAGCCCATAGATGGATTTCTTTAATTTGCAAACCATGTTCCTCGAGTCTCCTGACACAAAGTTTTCTGGTTGCACCATATAGATTGTCTCATCAATGTATCCATTGAGAAACGCTGTCTTGACATCCATCTGATGTAACTCAAGGTCAAAGTGCGCAACAAATGCCATAATTGTCCTTAAAGAGTCTTTCGTTGAAACTGGAGAGAAAGTCTCTTTGAAGTCAATACCTTCCTTTTGGGTAAAGCCTTTAGCCACAAGACGAGCCTTATATCTTTCCACATTACCATTTGAATCCCTCTTGATTTTAAAAATCCATTTACAACCAATGGGCTTCACACCTTCAGGTAATGGGACAAGATCCCAAACTTTATTGTCTTGCATAGACTTATACTCCTCATTCATGGCATCAATCCACTTTTGAGAGTTAGAACCCTGCATGGCCTGATGGAAATTGATTGGATCATCTCCCACCATTCCATTATTTCCCTCATGTTCTTGGAGAAATACTATGAAATCATCTGAAATAGTACTTTTCCTCTCTCTCGTGGATCTCCTTAATGGTATTGGCTCTTGAGATTGTTGAGTTTGTATTTCTGGAATAATTACCTCATTTTGGATGGGAGGTACTTCAACATTGTCTGGTTGAGGTTTTGGATATGCTTCTTGATCAACAACAGGTATAGAAACCTGTACATTGTCAAAAGCAATAGTAGTAATCGAAACCGATCCTTCCTCAACTTCTTCCTCAAAGACAATGTCTCTAACCTTATTTCTCTCCCCAAACTCAACATCCTC